TTGCCAATAATGAATCCTTGTAGGTTTTCTTATTCTCTCAGAATTGCCTTGCTGGTTGAATAAGTCCGGTGAGACGATACATCCTTGTCTTAAATCCCTTTCTCTCTTTTTTATATGTGCTGAACTCATTTTCTGTATATGCAGGCAGTTTCCTGCCTGTATAGGTTCGTGAATATTCTAATATTTTTTTCCGAATATGTCAAAATTGCTAACAGATCTTGGTGGCGTATTTCTGTAGAGCACCTTTGCACTGTCTATAAAACAAGTAAGAGGAAGGGAGTTGCACAGGCATGAAGTGCGTGACATGGAGCTATTAGAGTAGAAAGAGACGGCTACATTTAACCGTTTCGACACTGAAAGGGTGGGACTGAGATGTCAACCTAGTAGCACTTTTAAATTCATGGAGTTTGGGTCCCAGCGAAGGTAGCTCGTCGGAGCAGTTACTGTGAAAATATTTGTAGAAAAGACAAAGGGAAGTAACGGCACGTCCGTGAGAGAGCGACTTAAAACGAGATGCTAGATCAAGGCTAATTGCATGGCCTATCCCTCTCTCGATTTTGAATATTTAATTCTTTGATTTTGATGTTTAATTCTTTCTTCTCGCTGTCCTTCACTACCTTATAAGGCATCATTTGTAGGGTTTTTTCCGTGTCTGCTATCAACACTGTGTCATCTTATCTTATGTTGTTAAAATTATGGTCAATACCAATAATGAATCTTTGTGGGACTTCTAATGTTCTCAGAATTGGCATGCTGCATAGGTTGAATAAATCCGGAGAGAAGACACATCCTTGCTTTACACCCATTTCTGTTTTTTTTTTTCTTTTAATCTGCTGAACTGATTTTCTATCCGTATGCAGACAGTATAGATTCGTGAATATTCTAATATAATTTTTGCCGAATATATCAAGATTGCTAACAGATTTTGGTGGCGTATTTTGTGTAACACCTTTGCCCTGTCTACAAAACACGGATACATGTCCTTCTACATTTATATTGATCTTTCTGATAACATTCTGAGCATTTTTTCGTGTTACTTCCTTCGGTGCCTTTGAAGGAACCCGCACTGCTCTTTTCCTATCTCTGGCCTGATTCTGTTGCGCACTCTATCAAACAACAAATCGTGACCTCTGTCTGGTGAAATTTCCAAGAAATGCTGCATTTTGGCCATGTTCCATAATGTCGTGATATCAACGCTAAACTGTACTGCAAAAGCTAAACAGTATGTATGGCAAACTAAAGAAGGAGAATCTTGCTTTGGTCAATCGACTTCGGGTTTTGTTTCAACAAGGCAATGCGAGTACAAACACTGCTAGTTTGACTAAGAAGAAGTTCAAACAGATGTACAGTGTTGAGATTCTTCCACATCCACCATTCAATCCCGATGCTTCCCGAGTGAGTCTGGTCTATTCCACTCAATAGCACACTTCCTCCACGACCAGCGATTCAACACTTTTGATTAAGTAAAGGAAGCATGTTTGCAGTTTTTTTTGTTTTTTTTTTTAATCAAAGCCAGTGGACTGTTATCTAGAATATATTCGGATGCTGGCTGATTGCTGGCAGAATGATGGACTTTATTTTGAAGAATAATTATTTTGTGTTGTTCCATAAAAGTTTCTTTCCGATTTATTATATACCGTACTTATGAACATTAATGGGTACGTCCCAATCTTCATAAATACGTTGGACACTGTTGCAAATAGGGGCAATATGTTATCTAAGTAGTCCACTCCTAGTAGTGGTTTACCTATTTTACGCCGCTGGCGAGTATTGTCTTTTGTTGGTGTTATAATGATTACCATTTCATTTCCAACCTCCGTTTTGTTTATTCCTCATTCAGTAACCTTTACTATGTTAAAGCACGATTCCTAAGTCTATCAGGACTTTCCGGCCAGCCTAATATATATATATATATATATATATATATATATATATATATATATATATATATATATATATATATATTTGTGTGTGTGTGTGTGTGTGTGTGTGTGTGTGTGTCTGTCTGTGTGTGTGTGTGTGTGTGTGTGTGTGTGTGTGTGTGTGTGTGTGTGGAATGAATTATTATTAAAATGTCGGCATAAAAACAAATTCAAATTTCCATAATATAAATATTTATTTTATTAGCTACAATATTTCTCTAACACTTCAAATGTCGAAAGTATAACTAATTCTAATTTTTCCGTCTTTACACCGTTACTAATTATATCTTATAATTTCCCCTTTTCTAAGGATTCTGTTTCTTTTTATCACGTACACCTCTTTATCTATATATTCTAGTTTCATATTTTTAATATAACTTTATTTTTTATGTATTTTAAGCATAATTTTATATTTTTTTTAAATATAACCTTTTTACTTATCATTAAAGTTAAATGTTTTATATATTTCCTATTTAATTTTAAATATATAATTTATGTTATCATATATTTTTTTATATTTCTACATATTTCATTCTTTAATATAACCTATTGATTTTATAATAATATATCTTTTTAATATAATTTTATTTAATATTAATATAAATTAACTAAATATGACTTATTTTTAATTTATTTAATATAACATTTTAATTTTTAAATGTAACTTGTCTTTGGAAGAGTACTTGTAAGTAGGGTTTGTATTTTTAAACTTAGACTTATCTACATTATTTACATTATTCGGACTATTGTGCTCATCTTTGTCGCCATACTTATCACAACGTTTCGCCCGTTGTACGCTCCGGCCTTCGTCAGGTGGTTGGAATGTCGAAATGAACCCTTTATTTCGCTCAGTGGGGTAGACTGTTCTAGTTCCACGTGCCATATTTAATGGATGTCAGTTATCAGTTATCTCCTGTTAATTTCCCTCTGAAGGTTCTCCACTGCCTTAACCGGGTATTGAACTCACACTCTTTGGGTCCTGTCACTGGATCTAACCAACGCCTTTATCCACTGTGCCATGTGTCCTTGAAATTAACAGGAAATAACTGATAGCTGACATCCATCAAACATGGCACGTGGAACTAGAACAGTCTACCCAGTGAGCGAAATAAAGGGTTCAGTTCGACTTTCCAACCACCTGAAGAAAGCCGGAGTGTACAACGGCCGAAACTTTGTGATAAGTATGGCGACAAAGATGAGGACAATATTAGACTTATCTAGATAGTTTTGTTTTTTTTTAAAAAAAAACAATTTATTCCTCTCTTAATTTCAAATTAATATTTTATTTTCATATAACCCCAATTTAATGTCATAATGTTAATAACCAAGCTTAATTTTATAAGACTTCTTCCCTTTAAGACAAATACGTTCTCTTTCCCTCTCCTGACCTCTGGCACGGGCCTTTCGTCTGACTGAAACATTGATATGGATAAATTCTGTATTACTTTTTCGACTTTATTTTTTGTAGCAACTGCCACAGTTAAACTGCTAGTTCCGACAAGAACTCAGTCTATACCGAGGTTGAATAAGACTGACGAAATTTTCGTCGGTTGACATAAGCCTATTCTCAATGAGGTAATTTTGAATTTTATTGTGTACTAATTATTTGATCTGTAATAATACATTGAGCTCTTTTTGCGGATCAGTTTTGTTATTTAATATCACTTGGATTATATTCGAACGGATTTATTACCTTTTATATATATATATATATATATATATATATATATATATATTTATATATATATATATAAAAGGCAGGAAGTGTGTGTGTGTGTGTGTGTGTAACAAATGCACGGCCGCAATTTTCGACGGATTTGCACCAAAATTTACATGCACATGCTCCAAGTTAGTGGGAAGCGCAAGACCGACTTTGTATTTCCCAACTCCCATCGATAGTGGAAATAATCGATTTTTTTCATGCTTCTACGGCAGTTTTCATGTAGTTTGCGGCCATTTTGTACTGGCCAGAGTGAGAGCCTATAGCTGGATGCCACGAATAGGCAGGAAAATTTTATTGGCCAGCGTGAGAGACAACAGCTCACTGACACGAATGTTAACTAGCATGCTAGCATGCAAAAAAAAAAAATAGATAGCTGCATTCGTCACAAGTGGGAAAAATTTAAATCTGCATGGCACTTTACTCCAATTGACTCAATCGCTTGCTTAAACTCAACGTTGATTCTGATTCCGCAGAACTGGGTTGGGTGTGAAAAAGTATTTGTTGTTAACATTCATTTTTCATTCATTTTGTATTCATTTTGTTCAGTTCTTTTTTCATAACGGATTTAATGTTTAGTATAGAGCTTAGATAAAATTCGCAGTGTGAGATAGGCAAGAAGTAAGGCATGTAGCAACATCAGCACGGCAAAGGGCACTCCTTTAGAGGCAAGGAAGGGCAACAATATTTTAATTCAAGTGATAGCGATTGCTGTATGAGTCGTAGGATTTTTGAATCAAGCACGAGCAACGCCGGACCATGCTGCTACTATATATATATATATATATATATATATATATATATATATATATATATGGTTTGAAATGTTAAACTATATATGAATACTGGTAATCTAGACTAACATGATAAGTTGAGAGTCATTTTGAGTTGAAAATGCAGTTGGTCATATAGTACTAAAAAAAAGTAAATCTTCTTTCTACTAAGTGTTGATCTCAGTCAAATCCAAAGATTTTTAGAGACTATGAAACATTTTAAGGGAAAATTATTATTTTTTTTTTTTTTTTTTTTACTTATTGTCGATTAACAATTTAAAATATAATCTTTCGATTCTTCCGTTTTATGGTTTTAAGCGAAAAAGAGACTCAAAATGAAAATTCGTTTAGAATATGGCCCGGAGATCTTTTAAAAAAGAAATTAATAAAAACATTTCTCAAAGTGCTAAATAGGGATTGGAAAGGCGTTCGTTCGGAAAGGCAACAGGAGGAAGGAGATTCATTGTAGTAAATTGCATTACATAAACTGCACTGAAAATTTCATTTCCTGAGGTCCTCATATAAATGCCTTATACCTGCCTCTAATTTGTCTGTTCGAATCCATTAAGATGACGTATATCTTAA